CAAAAGAACCTTGAGGGCAAACTCCTCCACATACTCACCGACTGAGCACCGGCCCCGAATGTTGGGCTGCGGCACGTCCACCAGGCTGCTGACATCATCAAGCAGTGCCATGGTAACTCGTGACACTTTCTTCCTCAGGTTACCGTAGACAGAACTACCCACCCTGTGTAGGAGGCCGCTCCGCAGCCCATCCAAAGTCTGAACCAGAGCCAGATTATTCTGTGCCATGGGGCCCCCTCTCTCTCCTCCACCTGAACGTGATAACGCCTGAAGCAGGAAACTTTGTATGGAGTCTGGATCTTCCTCCTCTGCGTCTTCCACAGATGCGTTACCAGACAACCCGTCCTGCCTCATGGCCTCAGGGGGCAGGCTGAAGGGCTTAAATCGTCCAAATGCACTTGAGCTCCTACTGTGTTCAGCACCTTCCCCTGCTGGGTGTAGACTCACCACAGGCTTCCAGTTGCGTGTTTCTAGGAAGCGCAGCAGCTGCTGGAGCCAGCTGACATTGAAGGCACAGTCACTGTGACCCTTCAGAGCACAGATGAAGCCCTGCAGGCCTGCACTGGCCTGGCCATAGGTGCCACTGAGCAGAGCCTGAAGTGTAGCCTCAAACACAGCACTCACTGTCCTCCAGTTCTGCGATAGGAAAGACAACAGGGGCTTTTGGGGCTGCCGCTCCGACAGACTGATGAGACTCTGCAGCAGCCCCAGGAGCCAGTCCCAGTGAGGGCTGCCCCGCATGGACAGAAACCAGTCCTGCACTCTGACGCTGGGTCGAGGTGGCGCCTGGCCGTTCCACTGGTTCAGTACAGCGCTGCCTTCAGACTGCAGGAAGTAATGCAGCACTTTCTCCCACAGCTGCTCCTCGTCTGGCTCCGCGGGGGCCTCCTCCAGCTCAGCACCCATCTCCTGGAGGTACAGAGAGATGTTGTAGAGGAACCCCGAGAGACGGTGCCGGTCAAATGGCTTGTTCAACGAAGGCAGGTTCTTGCTGGGGAGGAGGCCAAGTGTCTTTAGGCCCCCCATGATATTCCTTACCCAAGGGGGCATCGATTGTTCACTGTTTGTTTCTGGGGGAGCTTTTTGAGGATTCCAGCCACTTCCTGTACTCCATTTTGAAAGGATCTCCTTCAGAATGGCATCTCTCTGGTTCTTTTTACCACCTTCTGAAAAAGTCCCAGTAGAGACAGCTTAAACCCAGCATCATGTAAAAAAACACATGTTGTAATAAAAAACTAAATATTTTATTTAGCAACATTTTTGATGATGCACTCACCTGTCTTCTCAGGGGATCCTTGCCCCAGTAAAACAGCACAGACGATGATGCTGGTGAATGTAAGAGTGGCCATCCCTGGCCCTTTCTCAGCCATCTTCATCTCATGGCAGCACACAAAGTGACACAGTGGTGTCACATGTTTTTCCTCAGGCTGTTATTCCTAATGATTTCACAAAGTTCTGTGATTAAATAGGTGCTGCTTTTTTCATTTAAGTAATAGGGAGGACTCAAGGAGTAAGGTACCTCTACGGAGAGAGGGGATATTAAAAGTTAATGACCGTCCACCACATCACCTTACCACTCTCACTGCGCGGTTACTAAAACAAGCATCAGTAATTTACCGTTTAATTTACTCAACATCGATGACATGTTAAAGGAAAGTGATGCTGAAAATTGACCATATATAAAAGTTATGAAGTATGAAACTAAAATACATTTAAAGAAACAGCTCTTTCAGAGATTATTTTGACAAGAATAGCAAAGATACATGTTTTCCTGTGTAAAGTAATATCAAATAATAAAGAAAATACCAGAGGTCACAACATTTGGTTAGAATAAATTCTGAACTCACCAAAAGTTACAATCCATCATTTCGTTGAGAACCCCTTAAGCTTTTGGTAGCATGTCTTCCTCAGCCGTATCAACACACTGGGAGCTGACCTCTTTGTGAGTGTCACTCTCTGTTTCACCATCACTCCGACTTTCTCTACCTCTCACTCTCTCTTCTGCACCCCTCCCACCTGTGTCCTCAAACTCTCTCTGTGCTTTTAGCTGATGGTTGCTGCACTTTTTTCTCTCTGGGGTTTGGTGATTGACCTCATATTTCATGAGTTATCTTGCCATGCTACAGTATGTAGGCTGCTTTTTATGACAATGTGCGGGGGGGAAAAGGGAGATACTGGACATATTCCTCAGTATTTAGGGAATTTTGCATTTGTATCTATTAAATATGGTTTTGTGTTCCAGTCCAGTATTTTGGGCCATCTCGAGGCTATAGGAAGGTCACAGCACTCAGCTAGGTGCTCAAACAAGGTGAAAATCTGGATCATGTTAATCACACCCAGGAAATATATCCCATTCTCTAACTGTCCGATGTCCCCCACTGACTGATTCCCTATTGAGCCGTCTCTCAGCCGGGACTCATCTTGTGACTCTGGGTTGGTTGGGGGTGTAGTCTTACCGACGGGGACGGGGCCAGCAGAGACTGTGCAGGCTGTCAGTGTTTGGACACATTTATCCCTCCGCCAGGTAGACTTACAATTGAGCCCTGTGCAAGTGTGCAGCAGCCGGCTCCCCAGAGTCAGACCCCTGTCTGCGGGCCTGAAACCCAAGAGGGCCCAGTGAAAGGGCCCCCCCTCCCTCCACTTGCTTTAGCTGTATGATACTGTGGCCTGCACAGGGACAATAACATCCTCCTGTATTATTGATACCACAGGGAACAGCGATCACTCATCGCTGCAGGGCTCGATTCACTACAGGAATATTCAATGAGAAACCCGACCCCCCTACATGTTTCTCCTCTATCTGCTGGAAACTCAGGCAGGGGAGAAATCTGCTGGTGAAACTCGTTGTTGAGATTTGGATACTTGGTTTGTCTCCAACTGTGTTGCCCCCATCAATGGAAGTAGAAAAACATCAACACATCAAATGACCCCATTAAAAATAAACCACAACACAACTCCCTTTTACAACGATAACCATTAGCATTGTATAGTATACAAGTTTCCAACACAGCTTTTCAGCAACCAGATTGTTTTTTCCATTAAATCTAACAAAGAACCTTAATCTCGAAGTTTTTTCCCCCTGAAATAATAAATTATATAACATTTCGACCGCAATGACAGAAGGAAATAACTACTGCACTTATTGGCTGCTGTAATTACTTTTCTTAGAAACATTTTTATATTATTACCAAGGGTTGTTAAATCTTAGTTTCCCCTCAAAGAAAAGTCATGTTATGTTAGTATATATACTTAAATGTCAAGATTTCAACAATAAGGGTTGCAGTCCCAATACATAAAATGCTTCTTCTCTATTGAGATTTTGTTGTGTCGAATACTAATATTAAGTTTGAAATTCAATCTTTTGCTACTAGTCATTTTTCTTTCCCAGATTAAGATGTTCCTAACGATTTTAGTTTAAATGAATGTCATTATAGATAATTAGGTGAACCAGATTGTGATTTAGAATTTGACAGATCAGTCCCTTAGTCATATTTGTATTTGTTTGTTAAATGAATGTTACCTAGTGTTGAGAATGACCTGTACTGTTTTCCAGAGTGATGATGAAAGCCAAAATCATTTTTCGTGTTTATTTATTCATCCAGAGAACAAAAAAAAGCATAATAAAGACACAAAAGACAATCATCTCTGTAATTATGAGACATAATGTTTAAAGAGGTTTTAGGTACTATTTATGTATTATATTTCCTCTAAGCCTGATATAAACCCATCACTTTTTAAGTGCAGACAGATTGCACAAATGACCAAAATAGAGCAGATTATCCCCAACAGAAAATGTGTTTTGATGAAAATGCTTTTAAAATGTTATGTATCCCTGAAAGATGTGAGCTGTTAGTTGGAGATAAAACTAAAACATAACTGTATGTCATCCCCAGAGCTTAGTTCATACTCTTGACAGATAGGGAAATTGTTGCACATTTTCTCAACTCATTTAGTTTTTCTTTACTTTATATCAGTTTAGATTAAGTGAAATGGATGCAAATCTCCATTAGAAGCTAAATCCAGTGACTCATTACAACTAAAAGTATATACTACTACTACTACTAGTAGTGAAAACAAAAATGTTGGCCCAAACTGAGTTAAGACCAGAATCGCTTTTACCATGGAAAAAACATCACACCCTTTCTTTAAACATGCACTTAGGATGCACATTTTCAGTAACTATTTAATCCTAGTTTCATTTATTATATCAATTTTGATATACTTCTGAATATCTGGCCTGACACACAAAAATGCATTAAATCCATACTGTATGAACCATTTGAAAAAGGATCATAAAGAAAAAAATGATAATCAAAAAGACTATACTTAAACAAACTAGCTCAAAAGAAATGACATAAGACATTGTGTGCAGAGCACATGTGTCAAACTCAAGGCCCGGGGGCCAAATCAGGCCCGTGGTGGATTTAATTTCGGCCCGCAGGATAATTTCTAATTACTATTCGCTCTGGCCCGCCGGTATATTGCACTCACACCTTCACTCAATCCTGAGGGTTTCCTCAGCTCAGAGCCTGAGCCCAAACATTGATGAACTTGCACCCGAGATGAGATGCCAAGTATCTGGCTTGAACTAGCATCACAGAGCAGCACACTGAGTTTCAATGGATGTTTCCTTCTGCACTTTGTTTCTTGTGACAACAGGGCATGTTTTTTTTTTTTTTTAAGGGAAATAGTACTATTTTTGGTCTATGACAATGACTTTAAGAAGTCAACTAAATCGACAAATTAAGGCATTCAAACTTTTTTTTTATGTGTTACACAGTTTGCTGGTCTGTTTGAAAACTACAACATTTCTGTCTGCAGTCTTTCCGCAGTTATTCCTCTCTGCCTTCGGAGGGCAGTGTGAACCAAGGGCATGATGGACCTCTTAGTTTAAACCGAGGGTAAACTCCTATCTGTTCATAACTACATTATTCCAAATATATATTTTCAAATTAAGAAAACATGATGGTATTAATTGTGTGTCTGTATGAATATAAAATATGACAAAGCTGTCAGACAAATGATATCAGAGGCAAAAAAGAGAGATGATTTGCTGTTAACTCTTACAGTGTATATTACTTCCCATTTTTGGGCAAATCCAAGATCCAAGTCCTGTTAGAGACTGTTTCCCGGCATGACTGCTCTCAAAGGGTTTAACTCAAAACCCCACCACCGAGACACGGAGAGATCTTTGCTTTGCTTCGTAGGTCAGCAGCAAATCCTTACGAGCCTGCCGGATACACATGAGTATGAACACCACGACAGCATCAAAGTGAATATCATCATTTGTGAAATATGCATTTCAGCATATAAAGAAATGACTAACCTTGGAAATCTGAGCTCTTTTATTCTGTAACTTCTTGATGGAATTATTACTGGAGTCAAGATATTCCTACAAGCAAAAACATGTTACTGTGAAAGTATTGTACAAACGTGCAATGTATGCAACGCGCATGATATACATACTGTTTTAAAGGAAATGTACCTCAATTTTGTTAGTGACCCCATTAATGGCAGTTTGGTCCATGTTAGAGGCAGAAATCACAGAGAAGAGCTGAGCCTGCGTCTTCTCCACGCTCTCTGTCAGGCCTTCCAGCTTCAACTCCAGCAGCGAGCTCTTCAGATTCACTTTATGCTGCACCTTCTGAACGTTCTCAGTGAAGGTCTTGTATAGCTCATCCCTTTCCTGCTGAAGCTGTGTGACGTTCACACACAAACAAATGCAAAAACATTCACATAAATACCCAAAAGAAATCAAAGCATTTGACCCACATTCAACATTTGAGCTACATGACAGCGCAACTCAATTTCAATCTTACCTTGCTGAATTTCTGTTCCATAGTTTCACATTCCCGTTTCAGATCATCCAGCTCATTCTTTTTTAGCTTTTCATTGAAATCCTGTCAAAAACAGTTTCAAAGATTGACCTTGTGCCCATGTACAGTAGGCTACGCTTATACTGATTAGGTCACTGGTATTAACACATGTCAACGATCCTTGTAACCAACAAACCGTTTTCGTTGTATAGTTATGGATTTTTTTTCTCCTTTTTAACAATTTGCTCTTTGACGTTGGATAGAAGCTCAGTGAGACGTTTGTTATCGTCCCAAAGATCGGTCAAATCCTGTATCTTCTGCTTCTGTTTGCACTTCATGGCTTGTATTAGTAGCTAAGAAAAAACAATTAAACATTCCATGTAAATAAAACAAAACCTGATAATTTTTTCCACTTTATAGAATAAATCAATAAGTACTAAAAGAAAAAATCAGCATCGAGCCTGAACAAAACATCTGAAATGTATTTGCCTTCAGTCTGACAAAGATGCATAATGCATCAATAAATACCTTGACTGTATCGTTCGTATCCAAATCCTGAGGCATGCCATCAACGAGAGCTTTCGCTTCCTTAAAGGTTTGGTTGTGGTCTTCTATAACAGTGTTAATGTGTCTGTTCCAAAGTGCTTCTCTCTGACTGGTCTCTTGTTTCCTCATGTTGTGCAGCTCTAATGGCAGTATATCCATCTTTTTCTCATACTTGGCTTGGATTCCTACTCAATTAGTGACAAAAAAAAGACAGCTCCAATTTAGTTTTTACAGCACTGGGTGACGCATTCAAATCAAAATGAGATTCGTTTTTTTTACCTGCGAGTTTCTTCTCCAAGCTGTCTCTTATTTCAGCAATTTCTTCAGCATTTTTCTGTTGAAATAACAACAAAACTGATGTTTGCTTACTTGTTTAAATAAATCAGAGTAAAGAAAAATATTCCTTCAACAGATCTTTATGTGTAGCAATAACAAAAGTTTGAACTACAAACCAGATCAAGTTCCTTGACGAGGTTTTCATTATCGTGTTCCTGCTTGTCGACCATGATGGCCTTCATGTCCTTATGAAGCTGAGTCTCTAGCTGTCCTTGCTCTTTTTGCCCCGCCTGAGTGGAGACTAAAGCATCTGCTCTCAACTCAGAGATGGTGTTCTGGTGTTCACACAGGAGGTGCTTCATCTTCTGCTTATAGACCTGGTGCGGAAAATGAATAAAATGTGCATTAATAAAGCGATTCAGTAAGAAATGACCTGCATATGAAGGGGGGTTTCTTCCATAAAAGTTCTCTGTGTTAGCATGTAGAGCTGCAAAACACTTGAGTAATAACTTCACCTTGATCTCTACTTGGTGGCGCCCCTCATCCTCTTCTATGTCCTTATCAAAGTTCTTCCGCTCAGCCTTGACCTCCTCAAGTTGTCTTTCTGTGATCTTCCAAAACGAGTGGATTTTGTCCCTCTCGAGCTGAAAGTAGTTTCTCTCTTCCCTCTCTCTATCCAGCTCCTCTCGAAGGCGCACAATGTGTTCTTCCAGCTGAAATACAGAAATATATTTGAGTGTGGGCACATCTGAGCCAGACAGTGTGGATGAGACTGTAGGTTGTTGTTATCCCAAAGGGGCAGATTATCTATTGAACATGTTAAAGTCCAATTTGCTGTTAAAGTGAGCTACTCAGGCTGTAACATTAAATTTACTAGAAAAGCATGCTGGCTTCATGGATGTATTGCTAGCTTGCAAACTGTAAATGTGAACGGATGTAGTAGGACATCCTGGTACTTTTGCCCCAAACTGTGGGATGTGAGCTTGACAGGCCTTTAGTGGGTGGGGGCTGTGACGATAATGTGACATGGGTACAGTAGTATCCAGTGTTAACTTAACCCATTCTAGGGAAGTCAGGATATCTCTGCCTCTGCAGGTTTGATTTTTACCACTCAGTGTCTTTTGGGAAACCTCTAGCTGTATGTAAGTGCAATACTAACTCACTTATTAAACACCACCTATCCAATTGAGCACAGTCAAGCATCCCTCAGCACTTTCACACACACACACACACACACACACACACACACACACACACACACACACACACACACACACACACACACACACACACACACACACACACACACACACACACACACACACACACACACACACACACTTCAGCTCTGACCTGCTCCTTGGACATCTCATCTTTGGAAAGGCCATCAATAAGCGTGGGAGTTATCGCCTTTGGAGGCTTTTTACTTGATCCTTTCTTCTTGGGTGGCTGTAAAAATTCAAAACATTAGAAACTATTTAAAAGTGACTCACACTAGCATATTTCTTAAACATTACTGAATGAATGTAACGTTAATAACAACCAGTGGTGTTAACAAACTAGTTACTACTTAAGTACAATTTTGAGGTATTTATACTTTTCTTGAGAATGTCTATTTATTGCTACTTTGTACTTCTAGCTCACTACAATTAGGAGGTACATTGTGTACTTTTACTACACTACATTCAATGAATACGTTTAATTACTTACTAAACACTTTAAAAGGACTTTATTTACACAAGGAGTACAATTCACCCTGCAGCTTACAAAGATATTAAAAGATGCTCAACCTTTACCATCTTTGATAGCACTTAAATTAATCAATAATTATCTTCAAAACATATAATATATACTATTCTAAAATTGGCCAATCTGCATAATGAGTACTTCTACTTTGGTACTTTAAGTATATTTTGATGTTTATACTTTTGTACTTTTACTTGTGTAATATTTAAATGCAGGAATTGTACTTGTAAACAGAGTATACTTTTTCTAGCAACAATATGATGTTCAAAGCGATAGCTGCTAACGTTAGCTGTTTACTGTAGTCGGTTCAGTACAAACCTACATGGTTGTTATAATTATATTAAACAACGCTTTACTCACCATCTTATATTGCACCACCTACTCAGATATAAGGGAAATGTTTGGTCGTTTTGAGAAGCTAGCTAGCATAGCAGTTAGCACTCAGGAGAGTCAAGTCTTTAGTTTCAAACATGTGTTGCCATAGTGACAAGAGCACGTTGTAATGTGTTCCCTCCAGGAGAGGGCGAGCTGCACCTGCTCTGACTCTGCAGTGAAGCAAGACATAAACACCACACTAATATTTGACAGCAGCAGTGGTGTAGAAACTGTGTACATTTACTCGAGTACTGTACTTTTGTTACATTTTGGTGGACTTTACATTGAGTATCTACATTATTTTTGCTAGTTTGTACTTCTAACCCACTTCAAATCAGAGGTAAAAAGTGTACTTTTACTACACTACATTTATTTAATATCTGTAGTTTGCAGATTTTGTGAAATATAATCAACACTAAGATAAGACTTTAGTAACATGGAGTAAAATCCACAAGCTACCCTGCAGCGTACAAAGTAATTAACCTTTACCAGCTTTGATAACACTTTAATACATCAATAATTAGAATCATGTCATTTATATTAAACTGAAATGGGCCATTCTGCATATTAACTACTTTTATTTTTGGTACTTTATGTATATTTTGATGCAAATACTTTTGTACTTTTACTAGAGTAACATTTGTTGTATTCTTTCTTACACTCTGGTACTTCTACTTTCTAAGCACTTCTTCCACCCCTGGACAGCAATCAACAAAAAACTCAGCTGGTGAGACTGGAATGCTTGATTTGAGTCCAACTTTTTGACCCATCTTCCAATGGAAATATAAAATCATAAATACATGAATTACCCTAAAATGAGTTGAAATTTGCCATCATTTACTTACAAGAGCTGAACAATTATTTTATTCACATAAATTGTGGCAGCAAAACTGCAGAAATAAGTGCACTGTATGCATGTCAAATCAAAAGAGTTCTACACTTGATGGATTATCAATTGGCGATTGTCATTGCACCTGCATTTGAATCTTTGCTTATTTCATGTCGTGTTCTTCCTGGATAATACAATTACTCCATATTCTATCACTTTTTCTGATGGCATTGACTAGCTTCTCTAGTAGGTGTAGTAATTATTATCAATAGTTTGCCAATGGGCATTCAGTAGTTACCTGATTCACGACTGTCTGCACGGCATTCACGACTGTCTCAGTTTCTTTATACAGCACCTATCAATTAAACAATTCTAGACATACTCAAGTATTTTAGCCATTCTAGCAACATTGCTGTTGTGATGGTCAAAGCGGATTTCTCTGCAATATCTGGATGGATTGCCGTGCGATTCTGTTCCGACTTTAATGATCCCCAGAGGAGGAATACTAATTTCATTTGTGTTGGATAATGTTGTTAATAAAGCAAATGAATTTGAGACAATATTCAAAATCATACATTTTTATTTGTAAATAACAATTTAAAAACAGAAAACTATGTACATTTTCAAAGTATAATGTTTACTTGGGGAGTCCTTAACGCAGGAGTTCATGGTCAAACATTGAGCATGGGGACGTCAAAGGCATCACAGAGGCCTTCCCTCTCATCCAGATTGTAAGCACATTAGTTTCCAGATGGGGGCGGAGAGAGATGGAGCAGCGGGGAAAAAGCTGAAGCGCAGAGGCAAATGTGATTAATACAAATATACTACAAATACCAATACGTGATGGATATGACTATTAAATATATGAAGTCAGAAAATAAAGTGCACTAACCTTCTGAGGCTATAAGCTCTCTGATCAGATCTTCGCCTATTACTTCTATAAAATGCGGGAAGACATACTTAGTTTATACATTCTTATAAAGTCAAATACACTTACATAAAAATGTAAAGAATATAAACACACACATTTTTTTACAAAGAAATACATAGAGGAACTCACCTTTGGTTGGGTTTATTAGGTCCCGCAGTTCTTTTGATAAATCTTGCACTGAATAAAAGATTTTAAAAAACATGAATGTGAAATCCTGTGGCACTGAAAGAAACACGCATGAATGATTTCTTTTTGTCCAAGAAATAATCGATAATCATCACAGAGAAAGAAACCGCAGAACCAGCAACCACGTCCAAAAAAGGAAGAGCTTTGCTGCTGCATTATCAGATAACTTCAGATAAGGAGAAAGATACCAAAAGCCTTAACTCTTAGTTTACCAGCAGAAGGTTGGTCCAGTCTTAGCCTGATAATTGTTATGAATAAATAAAGTCCTTAACTTCATATTAAATGCACTTTTAAAACATTTGATTGAAGACCTATTGGGCAGAGTTCAAGCATAAATGTAATTTAAAAAGTTTCCATTTTTACAAAAAACGCACTACAGAAATTGTTTTGTAGAATCTTTTTTTAGAGTTTTCAGCACTCTAATACGCACTTTGAAAAACTGATGGTGATTTTCAAAATGTTATAACATTATATAGAACAAACCACTAAACACGTAAATAATCGGAAGATAAATCAATATGGATAAAAATGTGTTGCAGCATTAGAAATTGTACCAAATAAAATACTCACATTGAGATGCACCAGTTCGGTTTGGCTGAGTGTTTAAAAATGACGATGACATGAGGTGTCGGATCTTCTCTGTGGCTGCCCTGCTTAATTTGTTATTAGCTGAAGCCTGACACGGTTTGATACTGCTTCCTGTATCGCCTGAAGTGGACATTACTGATTTTGCTCTCTGTAAAACTTCTTCAGGCGGCGGGACTGGCAGTACGACAGGAGCAGAGCTGACAGAGAGTTTGTTGAGAAGTACGACTTCTATCGGCCCATTGATGCTCTTCAGATGAATCTGGTACTTTGCTGGGCTGTTCTGGACCTGAAGAATGAAAAGTAGGCAAATACCCAATTGTTCCATGTACATTTAAGAAAGCCAAAGAGAAGAATCTACAGAAGGATCCAGTAATGCAACACTTACAGCTTTGGGAATGGGAACATCTAGCTGTGTTCCTATTGGTGCTCGTACTGCCAAAAGAGTATTCCCTGAGGACAGAAGAGGGTGAACATCCTTTCAAATGACAATCATTTTGTCTGGTCTTTATATATTAAAAATAAAAATAAATTTGAGTGGGCCTTATTCGTCTTAAAACTGCAACAATGTAAGCTGTTGTGGTAACGCATTTTGGACAGTGCTTGTCCAGCCGTTTTAATATCAGTCCAACTAGTAAATACACTAAATTGCAAAAACATCAACTGATTCTCAGCTGCAACATACTCTGATACAAAATATTGCTCTTTTACTGTTTTATCCTGGATTAATCTAGGACTATCCAAAATGTCCTCAAAAGTCACCAATGTTAACATGTTTAAGTGGATATTTACATTTAGAAGGTTTGAATATACTTGTAACGTTTCATCTCTTCAGTGAAACGCAGATAGAGGAAGAAATGTGCCGCAGATATATTCTTCAAAAGCTTATTCCATCAATAAGCTTTTGCTTAGCTTATTGATGGAATACAAATATGCATCCAAAAAAAGTACCTGTAACTTACCACTGAAGCAGTTGCAGAGATCTTCATGATTCACATAGGTCAAAGTTGATTTGAGTCAAGGTTTAAATTAAAATACAATATTATATCTGCTAAAATGGCTGTCATAAATCTCATTTTTTTGTTTAAATGTTATTGTTAAAGCAGAAGTAATCTAACATTTCCTACATGACATACATTTGCAATTTCTTTGTCAAAAGGATATTCGCTGCAGTCCTCTCTTGTGTTCTTGGCACTCTGTTCCACCCACTGCTTCTGCTGGTCCAACATCGATTCCATCATCTCCAAATCCTCCACCTCGGACTTCAACTTGAATAGCTTGTTGCTAAACACTTCTTCATGTTGTCCTGTAATGGTACCCCTATTTGAGAAAAAAGCAAATGTTTTATTTATTCTCACATATTTTGCCCCACACTATTTATATACAGAAGATCCAAAAGCATGCACACAATTTAGAGCTAAAGACTTACTTCCACTTCACAGTGCTCTTGGAGATCTTCACAATTAGACCAACACCCTCCAGCACATTTGTGATGTCGTAGATTCGCCTTTTTTGACCGACAGCCAGGACTCTGATAGCCTGAAAGAACACAAATAAAGCAAATTGACCCTTTGTTTGTAGATTATCTTAATGTTGCATTATTAGTTGACCTATTGTTCTGTATACATTTGAAGAGCCTTATTTTGGAAACGACAAGTGTTTTTAAGATAGCTTTTGGAAAAAACAACTAAACACGTTGCCTCGTTCAAAAATGTATTTTGTTCCAATTTTATTTATACTACGATGTACATTTAAAATAAATGTAATCAAACGAGTGATAATCCTGTGTTCCGATGGAGGTTGAAAGCACTTTGCTCATGTATGAGCAATTCACTTCAAATGCTGCATTGAGGCTTAGGTTTCTTAAACAAGCTAGATAGATAAAAAACATTTTCATTCAATTACACATTTGGTTAAAGTAGACAGAAACAATGACATCTTTAGTTACACATTTCTGACAAAGCATCACATAATATAATTGCAAAAAGGCCTGGTTTCCCAGTGCACATTGTGATCAATTACAAACATGGATGTAAGATATATTGTTTTAAGTGTTCTGTAGGTAAGACCAACTTAACAGTAATTTCATTAATTTATCAAATAATGGATGTTTGTACTGACTACGCTGTTCACTTACATCTTTGAGGTCCAGTTCACCGCCCTTAGCTTCTTGTAACAATGTGACAAACTTTACAGCGAGCATATGAAGGCTCCTCAGACTCCTCTTGTATTTAGGGTTTATCTCTGGTGTTGCTGTCTCTACATCGGGACCATGGTCTGGACTTGGTGGGCTTCCCTGAGGATCCATTCTGCTGAACGGGAGAGAAAAACAAATCACACACAACAATCACAAATCAGCCCACTTCACACAACTGGATACTATTTTTGGATCGAAATGAAATCTTTTCAGGGTTTCCTGTATGAGCAATAATGTTTAGTTATATAAGAATTCAACTTAATTATTTGCAAAACATTTGGTGAAGAAAAACCCTTTTCGCCTTCACTTACAACACGGTTCATTTCTCTCTGGCGCAGATTTATTGTGAAAGGGTTTCACCGGAAACACTAAGTTACGGTTTGTGTAGCTTTTTTTTTTACTGTAAACCCTAAGTTTTTAATTTGTTGTATAACGTATTAAGTTCTTCGAAGTAGCGCTAACACATGTTTTCAAACATATATTACTATAGTCTCTACATGATATCAGCGCTTATCTTGAAAGTTAGCACAGTTAAACTGTTTTACCTGGGCTGTTTCTGGATCAGCGGTAACGGGGGTCCACAGAGCTGCTGCTGCCGACGCTACTGGGCTAACGTGTGGAGGACGACAACCGATGGTCATTAACTTAAGATTCAAACATACCAGGGAGGTACAGTTACCCTCTGTTTAAATCCAATCTGAAGCCAATGTAAATGATAATGTCCGACCTTTACTGATAGTGAACTCCGACAAACCCACTGTTGTGGAGTTGGACGCGTATTTTTTCCCGGTACTAGCAGAGGGATATATACCTGGCGTGCCTTCACAATAAAAGCCCCAATGTTCGCCTGACCAAAATGAAATGAAATTGTATTTATATAAATATTTAAATCAGATCCGATAATGACACTTTTTCTCTATTTATGTAACCTTTTTTAGATTTAGATTAAACAATGTTGTTGTGTGTTCACTGTTGTTGATGGATTGAGGGGAGTAGGCTTCTAGGGTTTAAAACAAATCTAACCCAGCCTATCTTTTTTGGTTTTTCTGCTGCTTTATTTTATTGTGTAAAGAAATACGATCTAAGAATCTATACCATACATAACTTCATTTTCTGACTGAGTCAAGCTACTTTCACAATTGCAGATTTTACCAAAACCAGGCATTTAATGAAAAATACATTTTATTGAAATCAAAACACTCAGTATATACACCATATATACATGTATAGGTGCACATACTGTACATAATCATACAGTCCACGTATATCCATTTCAGTATTTATTCATTTGGGCCATTTTTATAGTTTGCAAAAGTTACAGAACACTTAATTTAAATATAGACATTTTATAATATGTTTTCCACACCTATAATACATAAACCTCAACCATACTTGAACATAATTAACATTTCTCAGAGGCGTGTTATTTTTCTCTTTCAATTTCTTATTCCACGGCACTTCCCAAAAAAAGACCCCAAACAAATGTGGGTAAAAAACAAAACAATTGTCTTTATTCGTCAGGCCGTGTTCCAGATGTTTGTGGTTCAACATTTTGACAACATCAGATCATAACAAGGTAAATATCAAACATAAGCACAGATATGTCAAAAGTGTGAATATTAATTTTATATAAAATGTCAAAGTTGTTCTGGGAGGTCCAATGCACGTCTGCAACAGATGCTTAACATAGCGTTTTGCACACATGCCTTAATGACAATCTGATGAGATAACTCGATAAACCTGCTTCACAAAACACACCTGTTTCTCTTGTGTTGTTGAGTACTTCCGCGTAGAGTCAGGCGCTGATCACGTGACGCACTGCAGCAGTCATATGACGTTCCGGTTTGTCCTGTTCACACAGAGCAGCAACTTATGTAGACAGTGGAGGAAGTCACTGCTACAAAGAAACTCGTCTTTGTTGTTTAGTTTTGTGTTAAGTTATGTCGTCCTGCGGTTTGTTGGTGTGTTTGCTGGCCGTGTTTCAGCTCGGCTCCCGGGCTCAGTACCCTCCCGATGAGGTGACCCATCTACCGGGGATGAAGTTCAAACCCAACTATCTCCAGTGGTCGGGGTACCTCCATGCACGACCCGGCGTGTTTCTGCACTATTGGTGAGAAACAGCAGGCTAGAAGACCCTGCTCCTCCTCGGTTTAGCAGCATGTGTTTAAGTTTTTCCTGCTGGTCCCCTGCAGGTTTGTGACTTCTCAGAGGGACCCCGTCAAAGACCCCCTGGTGCTCTGGCTGAATGGAGGCCCAGGCTGCAGCTCACTGGACGGATTCCTGTCAGAGAATGGACCCTTTCATGTGAGCATGCCAACTATATGCACGAATCTACATGTATAATGGATAAACTATCGATCTTGTGTACATGTTTCTTACAAAAGGCAGAAATGTATATTTGGCTTGTGTAAAAGCAATGATAAATCAGGAACCATTAAACACATTTTCCAAAAAAACTCAAGGTGTACTAAAAAAAGCAGTACCAAGTACTTTATGGTGAGTGCAACTTCCAGGTTAAAAAGAGGATCCTTACCGTTTATGACTTTTTTTTTTTATGGCTACAGGAAAATGTTTCTTTTCACAGCAGACTCTGTACCTAACCAGAAGCTGAGAGTTGGGCTTACTAATATGGATAATATTGCTCAAAGATGGCTAAATATTTGATAGAAGATATTGTAGGGTTGATTACTAGTCTTTTCACAAACTATAGCTCAATGAGGTTCTGATCATGATCATCAGCATTGTGGAGATGATGAACAGCTAAGACATTATGTTAACTTCAGAAAATGACATCAATTGACTGTAATGCAGCCAAACCAGGCTGATAGTGGGAATTTAAGAGATAGCTATTCTTAAAAGTTTTGCCAGTTAAGTGAAGTGACATATTGACATTTTTGACTTCCCTTCAGGTCTCTGATAAAGGAGCCACGCTGTATGAGAACCCATCCAGCTGGAACAAGATTGCCAATGTGCTGTACATTGAGTCTCCTGCAGGAGTGGGATATTCCTACTCTGATGACAAGAAGTATGCAACTGATGATGATCAGGTGAGTTCAGTGACTGACTTAAAAACTGAAGGGAATCTTTGAAACAGCCTTTAATTTTAATTTGTTGTTTTTCTAGGTCTCTGACGATAATTACAGAGCCTTGCAGAGTTTCTTCTCCAAGTTTCCCAATTTCACTAAAAATGAGTTCTTCATCTTTGGGGAAAGTTACGGTGGCATTTATGCACCGACTCTTAGCCTGCGTGTGGCTACTGGAGCGGCCAAGATCAACTTCAAGGTGAGACGCTTCATGCTAACCACTGCTAGTAAGACATTTATATTAATTTAAGTGTATATACATTTCCTTTTTAAATGTTAAAAGGTAACTCTTCTCTTAGTTTTTTGTTTTGTTTTACCTTGTCACATTGCTATGCTTTACTCTAAGTATAAATCCAAGTACTTTTGTCATCACTGATATCAAGGTTTTGCTTAGCAGGAATATCAACCACCAAAATGCAGTTTCATGATCGTAGAGATTTTTATTTTGTGGTATTCTGAAAAATAATTTTGCAGTGAAACTTGTTTGTAGTTAAAATGCATTTCTCTCATATTTTGGCTTTCAGGGCTTTTCAGTGGGAAATGGTCTCAGCAGCTTTGCTCTTAATGACCAATCTTTGATCTACTTCGGTTACTACCACGGCCTCTTTGGAGAAGAGTAAGTGACACTAGAAAAAGTAATGCCCTCTGAAACTGCTTTGTGTGTTCCCCTGTATAATCCAGCGACAACACACACGACATGCTGAACCTACCTTTTTTTGGAATGGCGCTAACTTTTTGGACAAACATGAGGTTTTAAAACAGAACTGAAAGAAGTCATTTTCACAAGTTGGATTAAACATGCGACTTGTCTAGTAACAATTACATTTTATATAAATTGTATTACGTTTTAACATCAATTTCAGTAGTTTTAATGGCTATATCTTTTAAATAATATGATTGGGGAACTCAAACTACCACCAAAGGGAATTTGTCACCTGCCTTTTGTCATATTGTCTTTTTTTTTTTTGCAACCCTCACCTGCTTATTGCAAAATAGCACCACCTGCTGGGATGTCAAGTCTGTTTAACATCTGGCTCTATAGCAGAAGAGTTGAAAGAACGACCACATTTATTTAGTTTCAGTTTACAATATTTTGTTCTGCTTTTTAGTTTATGCCTTTAGTCTTTGGAGAAGCTTTGTTAGTTCATTAGGAGGAACAGTATTTAAATTTCACTTCAAAGTAATTATCTTTAATAAACCTTAACACCATAACTATTTACTTTTGTGTTTTCTGCCTGAGAAATCAGTAACTTGTATTGGACTCTAAGGACATTTTTCACCATTGTCTGTGGTTAAACTTTAGCAATTAACTTTGTGTTTTTTCTGTTACTGATATACGGAGCACACCATGCCACTGTTTAACAAGTTTTGAATTCATCATGTGGTTGATGTCATAAGCTGTGTTTTATGTGCAGTTTGTGGCGTGATCTGAACATAAATTGCTGTGACAAGGGGAACTGTGACTTCCACAACTCCAGTTCAGAGACCTGCAAGACAATGGTACTTGTGCACATCGCTAACTATTAAGATGGGTATTTCTTGTGCTACTAAATGACTCATTAAGATTTACATTTTCCATGTTTCCTTTAAGGTGAATGTGGCCTTTGGAATTGTGTATGGTAGCGGGCTTAATGTGTATGGCCTGTACTTGGATTGTGTGGGTGGCGGAAGATCCCTCACAAGCTACGATAGGACCATGAGTCAGCTGTTTAAGAACATCAGGAAACGCCCACAAACCCACAAGGTGAGAGCTGCCCAGCCATATACCTGTCCTTCAAATAATTTGTTTTCTTTTAGTAGTAATAATACAAAATATATTCTTAACAAAGTTTTCAGATGGAGTGTCGTCCATCATGTCTCTGGGTGAAGTCCCTCCCTGCATCGACAGCACGGCTCAGATGAACTGGCTGAACAGAGGCGACGTGAGGAAAGCTTTACACATCCCAGCCACCCTGCCACCCTGGGATCTCTGCAGGTATGAATGAATGGGATGTGGCCTTGTTTTTCTTCTTCTTTTTTTTTAAGGTCACCTATTATGCAAAATCTACTTTTTCATGTCTTTTTATACAGAAATATGTGTCCCCTCCGTGTAAAGAGATTCTGAAAGTTTCAGGACAAAATATTCACTCTTTTTCAAAAACCAACCACGGTATATATCTGAGACCTATAATATATTGATGAAAAACAGTATAATAAGGGACCTTTAAACATGTGTATTCTACAAATGTTTTGCTTTGTCTGAAACTATTTGGAGATGTAGTTTAAAACGTTTGTTTTTTTTAGAAACTGTTGTTCACTCGTGTATAATTATTGGGAATTTGCTTTTTACTACGCTGTCCTTTCTGTGTGGCGTTTGGTACAAGGTCACCTACCCATTGATGTTCATCTCAATGATCACTTTTCATTGCAGTGATGAGGTGGGAAACCAGTACACCAACCTGTACCCAACAGTGAAGGCCGTCTATGTGAAGCTGCTGTCTCTGGGCCTGCGGGCTCTCGTTTACAACGGCGACACCGACATGGCCTGCAACTTCCTGGGAGACCAGTGGTTTGTGGAAGACCTCGGTCTGAAGGTAGGAACTATCAAAGAGAACTGCGTAAAGCTTGCAAGAGTAACTTCAGTACGAACAGAAAAAGTTGTAAATTAAAATGCAATTTAATAATAAATACTAATTGCTATCCTCAGGCAACCACAGAGTACAAGATGTGGCATCATGATAACCAGGTGGCCGGTTTCTACCAACAGTACGGAAACATCACTTTCCTGACAGTCAAGGTAACCGCAGTGTTTTAGTTTGTGCCCTAGAAGCATGTTTGTCCTGCTTCACATTGGAGATGGTTGCATTAATGGGTGACATACTGCTGTTCTGTGTTTCAGGGTGCAGGTCACATGGTTCCTCAGTGGGCTCCAGCGCCAGCTTTCCACATGTTCCAGTCCTTCATAACAAATGCCCCCTACTGAGCCCTGATGGAGACTGTGTAGTGTACCTGCACTCATCACTTCGGATGGCACATTATTCTCAGGGAAGATGAATTTAAAAGGGAAAATGACTTTAATGGCAATTATTCATATCTAATTTGTTCGTGGATGACTTGCACTAAGTATTTGAAGAGGGACAATGTTTGTTTGGACTTGAAATGAAAATGTAGGCTTTACTCCTGGCTCGGGAATTTGTGCCTTAAGTCTGGTTTTCAGCAAGTATTGCAGCTGCTCATCGGACTGTTGACAAAATTCAGTTTAGTCTTAAACGCAACAACAGGCAGGTAGGCCATCCAGTTATATTAGCCGGGCCGGCTAAAAGGATTGGTCGTGCTTCCACAGATGACCTTTTTTTTTTAATGGATTTCTTAAGATATTCATTGCTATCGGGATGTTAAGAGCATTCCATGGAATATAACAAAAAGTGTATCTCGAGCCGGTTTCTCAATCTTACCTACCCTACCTTTAACATGATCAAATGAAGCTATGCTTCTGTGGCACTGATTGTAAAGTGGATACTTTATCCTCTGGAAATAAAAACAATGCTCCAATCGTTTGCTCTAAACTGACTTGACTTGTCTGTTTATTAAATGTTTTTGAACTGCCAGTGATGTGTATTGTCAGCTTTTATTCACATACCCTGACTGTTTTAATTGGGATATCACAGGTAGCTCTGTTCAGTATACACATTAAAACATTCAATTAACTTTGTTTGCGTCAATTCTCTGTATGAGAAAACATTCGACTTGATTTCTGAACTAAATGACTTGGAAGGGGGAAAAAAACGACATCCATGGTAAAACAGTAACAGAAATCATAAATGCACCTGACAAGAGTAAAAACTAGTTTGCAGCACCAAAATGATTGGAAAAACATGTTGACACTGAACACCAAATCATAAAAACAATTAAAATCCCAGCAATAACTACACATTCAAGTTCTCCTACTGGTGGCAGATGGCATTGTTTTAACTAGTTTCCTTACCTTCATTAGTGTGTACATAGTAAATGTATTCTACCATTGACAAAAAAAGAATCCCTTAATGTAACTCCCTTTTCCACAAACAGTATGGCTGGGTTTCATAAAAAGTACAAACTGAAAGTTTTCAAATCTCACTTGCATTAACATACCCAAAATGACCAGCAGTTTAAATAACTGTTCTCAATTGTTTAATGAATATCATATTAGCGTCAAGTCTTGAACATTTGGTAATAAAAGAAAGCTCACATTGGTTTGAGGTTAAAAAAAAACTTAGTCTTCAGCATGAACAGATTCAAGTAAATTATCAGTGTGCCTGAGTCACTTTTCTGTAAATAGTGTACAAATTGAGTTCTTAGTATCATTTTTTGCATACAGAAAGAGTTTGGGTTTTCATCAGCATGACTGTTTAAGACCTGCTGACTTACAGTTTCACCTCAAAGCCAATTATAAAATCATTAGTAATTCTAATATAAGAAACAAAACTCATGCTTTCCTAAATGTATTATTTTTCAACTCATTTAGAGGTATTGAATGTTTACACAAAGATTTGAAAAGAGCTGGCCTGCAGTTTTCACACCACTCAATGTTTGTGTACTTTCGTCTGCACCCAGTCAAAACTTTTATTGGGGAAGAAACTAAATTCTTTTGTGGGAAATAGCAGCAGCACTATAAAGTGTGGAACTGTATTTGATCTGAGAACCACAACATGTCAATATTTTAGATAAGAAACATGAAGACATGCAAGTTAAAATACATAAATTGGTACAATTTCATTATTAAAATCAATTTGATTGTAAGACCCCTTTATATAAAGTCCCTCAGGACGTACAGGGAGCCACTAAACCGCCACAAACGGTTTCCAACCATCATAAAAACATAAAACATGCACTTTAAACTGTACATCAAATAAAAGTGTCTGAAGTCATTTGGCATTGCAGGATGTCTCCGAGTACTACCTGACTGAGTAAAGATCTGTGGGGCTTTTACTCAGTGTGGAGCAGAGATGTGAAATGCCGGAGGAATTTTTTTTTAAATGAGTGTCGTGAGATGCTTCTCTCCATCGTAGTTCAGAAATAGCAGCACAGGACTGAGGCCCCTCTGTCTTTGACACAGCTGGCTCCAATAAAACTGCTCCTCTTAGCTGATGATGTCCTGGTAGATGGAGTTTGTCGTGGTGAGGCCGAAGATGAAGGTTCCAATCGTAACCATTATAATACCGAAGACCACCATTCCATGCCAGCTGTAACGAGAAAGACCGACATTTAAGAAAAGTCCTCATGGGGAAATAATTTCATTTACTGAAATAAACAGCTAATATGCCACGATGAGCAAAAGTCATGCATTCAAAAATCATACCTGAAGCTTGAAGCTGCAGTTGCTGACTTAATTAAAACATATTTTCTGAATCTCATGCACTACCGTCATATACTGACATCTCTGTAGGATTTGTGCTATTAGTATGGATAAAACTATTATTTTAAGACTATACGTATTTTCATTTTAAGGAAAAATGTATGCACATCCAACAGTATTACGATATTACGTCAATAAATGGTGACGTTACACTACAACTTATTTTTAAACAATGTGTGGGTTCTACAAATGCTTTGCCTCTAACTGCCGTTTTTAAACTGTTTGAACTAGTAGTTGTTTTAAACTGTATATTTTCTGGACTATAATGGCAAAAGTGTGATACTGCATCTTTAAATTACACTTCAATAATCCTAGTGAGAACAATAATATTATTCTTAAATTATAGCAGCAAACGGCAGCAGAGCAAGTCTGGTTAAAGAACCAAAGTCCCAATACTGAGGCCCGTTTTGAAGTTAGATACAGGGACCTTGTTGCTTCACAGTGAATGTAATCTAGTTCCAATAAAACTGAAATACATCCAACAAGAATCAGCCTCTCACCTTGTAGTTCGGCTGTCTGTCTCTGACAGCTTGGCTTGCATCAAACACAAACCTGTTGAGCAAAAGATAAAAACGAATATACATTAGTGTGACATTAAAATATCGCACAGATTGGGAACCTTGCAAACGAAGAGTGAAAGTGTTACCTGGGAAGACAAAGATGAAGCAGGCAGCCAATCCCCCGATCAGAGAGATCACCCGACCAATATCCGGGATGAAGAGTGCGAGGGTGAGGGTGATGGTGAACCACACCAGCGTCTGCAGGATCCTCCGCCTCTGCTCGCGACGCACACACAACTCCACCTGCTCACCTTGGAAACGCAGCCAAAGCCCCTCAATGACGGCCCTGAGAGGACACATTATCACAGAGCGGTGAGGAAACGATGCATTAACTGCAGCGTAATGATCTGACACCAGGTACTGGTCCAAAGACAAGGCTCTCTATGAAATCTGTCCATCTGACTGTATGCAGCCGATCCCGATCATTATGGCATGTTTAGGGTAACATCAAGCTGTAGTTATTATTATTTTATTTTTTCTATCAACTTTCCACTTTCCACTTCACCTCATGGGCAAATGTAGAGTATTACAATCTTTGCTTCAGTCAGTTACTTTCAGGATTCAGATAAATACAAAATATTAAATTGAATTCCAATTGCAACATGAAAGTTATGTGCAGGCCTAACTAATGCATTAATAAGTATAATCAGCATGAGTACTTTTACTTTTCGTACGTTTAGTATGTCATACTTTGTTATTTTACACAGTACAAAAAAGCTACACATTTGAATAACAACTTGTCATTTTACAAACACAATCTAAGCCAAAGTGACTGACAGTATGCTGGATATTTCTGGATTAGCTGGTTCTTACCTGCCACAGAAGTGTAAAATGGGGTAGGAGGTGATGACACAGATGACTATAAAAGCTCTTGCGATGGCCACTGCAATATCGTCTGAAGGATACGACATCAACACATCCTGATTGACGTTAGAGCCAAACGTCAGGAAGCCACAGACACCTGAACAAACACAACAAGAGGTTATTAAATACCGACATACTGACCGACATTAAAATACATTAAGACTCTATAATCCATGTGACAACAAAACAAATAAATGATCCGTCTGTTTCAAAGTAGGATTTTTTTAAATAGGCATTTCATTGTAATAAATAATTTACTTTGACTATATAATATAATCAAAATAACATCATTGCAATACATTTTCGAGTAATAATTGCACACATTGACAGTACCTGTTCCTGTGTAGACGAAGAGGCAGATGATCATGCTAAAAGTGACCACGACTCCCCACGGTTTGATCGCCTTCTTGCTCATGCTGTTGAACACCGGCACACAGCTGACGTGGCACTGAAGAGAGAGAGCAGGATGATTAAGATGATACCAAAAGAATTCAACATTTTCAGACTCTCTTTGAAAGACAGGCATTTAGTTCAAAGATTTCAAATGAAAGCAAATGAAGGTATACCTGGAAGCCAAAGCATATGGTGGGCATTGCATTGAAAACTGCAGTCCAGGAAGAAGAACTGTAACAAACACAACAATTTAGCAACTCAAGCAAAGCATGAAGACGAGGATGAAGATGTTTCTTGTTGGACAGTGGTAAAACGATTAGTAAAAAGTTCTGAAAGAGCCGTTAGCTGCATAGAATTAGCGCAGCGGGATGAAGTGTGTGTAGCGCCTACCTGGTGGGAACGTAGACTGGGATCGCCGCTTTATCCGGCCAGATGTACTTGATGATGACCACGATGGTCACATACCAGGTCCCCATCACACTGAGCGCACTACGATGAAGAGCAACAACTCAGACATGATTATCGTGCAGGGTAAAGGTGAGAAAACATTATCTCATTCTAATCCTTGGTGAGAAAACAAGAGACACAACATTTTGTACCTGGCATACTTCTGGAAGCCAATCTCTTTGGGGATGGAGAGAGGGAGAATAATGAGGACTGCAGTAACAGAGATGGTGAATTTACGATCAGTGTACCAGGCGCTGCTGACTGAGCCATCTTTGTCATGAACCACTGCAGCCACCACTGCAACAGAAACAGGACGTATGTTAAACTTGAGAAAGACAGACGGAAACAGGAAGCAAATGCTAGATCACAGTGCAGGTCTACTGTACGCAATCAGAGTTGCAACACAATTTGCTCCCATTCATTGTGTATGGGGGTGCGACTGATTGCTTCACAAAGCATGCTGGGATACCTGCATTTAGGACAAGCTGGCGAGAAGGCGTTACAATTTCAAAAATTCAAACAGGGCCTCATGAAGACAGCAAAACAAGTTACAGAAGCGGATACTTTCTTTACAGTGGATCTTAGAACAGCAAACTCCCTTGAAATGTTTAAAAGCAAATTAAAAACCTTAACCTTAAATCTTTTTAATATGGCTTTTATTAACTTTCAATTGTCACTAGTATCATTGTCCATGTTTTACTGTATTTATTTTCTGTTTTGCTTTTATTTAAAAAAAAAAAAATTTATTTTTTGAATTGTTTATTTTAACATATTATCACTGTAGATATTTTATCTTGCTCTGTATTGATTTTAATAGTATTTTAATATTCTTGTTACGTTTTCTGTAAAGCACGTTGGGCTGCTTTGTGCATGAAAGGTGCTATACAAATAAAGATTATTATTATTATTATTATTACAGCTCTGTATACAACCAGGAACGTAAAGACAGTCTGGTGATAATTGTAACGTAATTTATCAATATAAACATATATTTTTCTCAGTGTTTGTTTTCATTACAATGATATGAGCTGAATTCAGAGCAGGGCTCAGTCAACTGCATTCTATCTACTCCTTGACCCACATACATTTTAAAATGTCGGAATTGTTTGCATACAATGACGCTGCACTGTTAGAGCAATGAGTGCCTCGGTGGATTTAAATGTTAACTGCAGTGCACATGGCAAACATTTAGCCAAGTGGATAATTAAAGTCACAACCACTCCATTAATACATGAAAAAAGAGGGGGAAGGTCACAGGTTTTTTCAGAAACAGGCAGAAGTAGGATTTATTCACTGTCAGCGTCTGAGTGCAAGGAAGTCTGAGAGAGGGTCACATTTTCTGAGTGGTGTCATCCTTGATGTTCTTTGCCCTTATCAATGATGGCACAGATTCACACTACTGGATACCGGAGAGGTCAGCTAAAAGTAGGACAAAGTGCATGCGACTGTAAGAACATCATTACATTAAGACAAGGCTCAGAGAAATTGAATTTTTTAACCGTTAGAGGTTAAAGATCAAAGATTGTCTGACCGGTCTGATAAAATGAGACATAAATATGGTGGCAGTTATTCAGTTATCAGTGTACTTATACTTACAGCGATCCAGCTGGTCTCCAATGACAATAAAGAAAGCAATACAGGTCCCAAAGGTGTAGATGGCAATGGCTACTTCACATAAGATCCCTGTGAATTTCCCACAAGTGGCTCTGACAACCTCCTGATAGGTGCTTTCGTTGCTCACCTGAAGACAACAGACACATCTTTAGAAAGTGGACTCAGCAGTAAATGCATAGCTTGAGCTGATGGTGCAGTAATAGTCTAAAAATACCCATTTGGATAAAGTGAGGCCTTGAGGGGATGCCCTTGCTGAGCCAACAATGTTTTTAGGCAGGCTGGGGATTTAATGCAATGATGAGTCAATAAAATATTCCCAAGCGCTGTTTAAACGCAACCGGTATCATTCAGAACTCTGCCATTGAGATACTTATTCATGTGCCCACGTTAGCTTTGTCTTATTTTCTTTGACACAGTGTGACAAGTTTGAAGCAAATATAAATATAAAAAGGGATAACAGTTACTGGGCTATTTGTCCTACGGGATTTTCCCTTTATATGATATTCCCAGCAGATACCTACAATTTAGCCTGCAGCAGGAGCCTCACAGCTGACTTCAGTTTAAGGCATGGTTATAAAGAAGGTTTCAGGCTGCTGAGTAGTCACCCATACTCATGACATCAGCAATTGTAATGGTGGCACGTGCTTTAAAACAAAGTTCACTGTGCTGCTGAATGTACTGTTTTTTGTATTTTAGAGCAAAACTCAGCAGGAGTATCTTGGTCAGACTTTGTTTAACTGACAAAAATCTCCTTTGCGTTTTAACATGTAAGCAAAAATCTGAGCCAACAGGAAGTGAAAGTCTGGGATGTTGTGCAATGCACTTCTTATGATCAGGAATACTATCACAGAACAGAATTATTAAACAAGGCTACTATAGAAGAAACAAAACATGTGATTGAAAAGTATTCATATTAACAGTGGTTTAAAATGAAAGTAAGACAAGTGGAAGAGTGAGAATTGGAAATACATCGGACAGTATTGAGGGACACGTACCTGGCAGCAGTAGCCCAGGATCACCAATCCACTGATTATGAAGATCAGCATAAACTGAAACAAGAAACACGAAGGGAAACGTTATAGTTCCCATTTTTATTTCCCATATAGGCAGTTTTACGTTGGACACAAGAACAAAAAAAGTCAGCCGTTATTAACCCTAATTGGGTTTCAAACTAGTTTTTAAATGCTGTGTGCCAGCACTAGAGCTGCAACAATAGGTTGACTAATCGATTAATCCATGGGTCTTTAACGGCGGGTCAAGGGACAGCCAAATCATTTCAATTTATAATTGATCTCTTAAAAAAAGCATTAGAGTAACACAAATCCAACATTTCAATTTCATTAATGCAATTAAGTGTGCTAGCTGGCCTATGTCAAAATACTGTGTGACAACTATCCATTGGAAAAGTAATGGCTTTGTATTATTATTTAATAGCTTAGTATTGTAGCATTATACATGTGACTGTTGTTAAAGGCCAAGTTATATGAAATGTAATTGTATACAAATGTTGTAGGGGGTCCCTGCTTCGTCTATCTTTCAGTTAAGGGATTCTTTTACCTGAAAATCTAAAAAAGGCCCCTGGGTCAGAGAGACGAGGGAGTCTAGATAAATACCAATAACTGTAATAACATAGACATTTTTTTAGTCTCACTCGGCACAGAAATGTAATGTCTGATTAGTCATAGTTTGAAACCTTTTACACACTAAATCATGAACAGAATGATAGGTTGCCTTAGTAAAAGGTAACCACAGTATTACACTTGTCACTGGGATCTCCTCACCATTTGGAGAATAACTCCTGCAGTCACTCCTCCTGCCATATTGAAGGCTGCGGGGAAATTTAGTAGACCTGCTCCCAGTGCTGCGTTCACTACGATGAAGACCGCTGCCCAGGACGACACGCCGCCGCCGCCCCCCCCGGCTCTCCGTCTCAAGATGCCGGACCGATTCCACGCTGGGGCTCTGCAGGAGCCAGGCTCGCTCTCCAGAGTCATGGCTCCCAACCCCGGCCCAGTCCTCAACGTCTGTGTTGATCGCCATGAGTTACCGGGCTGTAGCTCGACCTGCCGAGCCTCACACTGCTGTCTCCACCTCTCTCGATCCCAGTGAGGAAATGTTGATGAAGTCCCACCACAGTCAGGAGGCAGCTGATGTTTCTCAAGTCTTTCACCAGTATCAGTATGATGATGGAACCATTTAGCTATCTGTAATGAGATAGAATTGCATTTAGAGATACTTGCATTAGCAAAAAAGGAACTTAACATGCACAGGGCTGTTATCATATCAACATTTAGGTCAATGTAAACAAGTATTTAGTCTATTTACTGTTTTAAGTTACTGTGAATAAATCCATGCACAAGTCACTTTTAACACAGCACTTGTTCTCTGTATTTTTGGAAGAAACATCAGTTCCCAAGCAAGGTATCTGTTTTGCTCATTGGTGAAAAACTGTAGGCTATTTCATAATAGTTCTAAATAGTTGCCTGTAACGTATTTGGTTTACAAGAAACGTGCATACAATTGGCCAACGCTATCTTTGGTTCCATCCCTTTGGAGCTTTTAACCACTACTGCTAAGTGTTGATGAGCCATTTCCTAAACCTTATTTCCTGCTAACAAACAAGGAAGTACTCTGGGACCTAATGCAGAACATCTTCCTGTGTGAGGAATGCAAACCTTCAGTCAATCAAGAGCATGCTAGCTTTCCAGTAACAGTAACATCATCTGACCACTGCACACCAGGTACTGACACAGGTCAAGCCACTAAACCAATATTTCCCATTAATGTAGGCTGTCAATGCTGATATAAAGCATCTTTGTAGAGTCTAACAAATATAACAAAGCTTTTCATAAAATGAGATAAAACTAGATACAAGTGGTTTACTTGGGTTTGGTTTAAGTTGTTTTAGTTTTTAGGACTCTGACACATAACATTGAAACCATTGCTTACTCAAGTAAAAATTGTAGGTACTTTTCCTTTACTTTAGTATTTAAATATTTGGCAACATTCTACTTCTACTCTACTACATCTCAGATTAAGTTATATTTTAACTTTAATGCATTCATTTGATAACTTAAATTACGTGTTACTTTAGATTATTAAAAAATATGAACTCACAAGCTGCACAACAGAAAGTAAAGTCATTCAAAACACCTGTAAAACATCTGAATACTTCCTTCACATTTGACTGTATTGAGTGAAATATCCTGCGATCATACAGATACATCTAAAATACAACCATGTTGAAGAATGAAGGCTGGATCTCACATTACATCCATCAACAACTAAACTATATGTACATAAACTGCTATTAAAAACTAATAGCTAATGAAACTAACATTACTTGAAACAAGAGAGGCTGCAGATGATGTCCAGCTGACCTTAATTTCATTTGCTGCTAATTTAGCTTCTCCTTCAGCAACCCAAACAAAAATCTGGTCAAACACCACACCTTTTAATGTGATTAGATTATGCTTTTCTTTTCAATAAGGTAACAATAACATCTGTCAACGCAGTCAACACCTTTGTTACTCATGTACCACAATAGCTAGCTAACGTTTCACATAGCTGACTAAAACAACAAATGTAAGTATTTTTTTCATCAAACAGTTCTACACATTTAAACATCTAAATATCATTTACAATCGCTGTTATTCCCCAGCTGTTTAGTAAAGTGTAGAAGATAAAAAGCTGATAATAAGGAACAGTACCTTGAGTGTGGAGAAGCCTCCCGGTGACTGAGCGTCTGACTGTTTTGCTGCCCGTAGAATGCAGAGGAACACGTGACACTGCATCACGTGACTGGAATCGTGGGGCGTGACGCTAAGAATTGTGGGTATTGTAGTTCTCTTTATTTTTGGATTTATTACTTATTTTCCATTTAAAGTGCAATCTTTTTATGAATATCACATTTCATGTGGAGTTTTAACGTAATTGGTTAAATGCTAAATAACCCATACACACACAATACACACATTTTATCAGTGGCTTGTGGGATAAAGCTAGATGAATCACATTGTTAAAGCCTATCAAACATAGTTTTTCCCTATTCTTTAGCCATTAAAGACATCTAAATCCTATCATATAAATCCTATAGCATCTAATCTAAACATTCAAATACAATAAATATCAAATTTTATGTGGGATACCCATTTTTAGTATAAGCATAGTTCTAAACACCACAAATATGCAGGGTCGCAATAAGATTACAGTGAAAGTCTTGATGAGAAATTATTAATAATTTGTAAGTAAATCATACTCTTTCTATTTTAAAAGACATAAGGACAACAACTGACAACGGGAACTGTGTCAAAGTTTAAGGGGCCTACAGTTCAATATCAGAGGAACCTTAGTACACCACTGTAATCAATATATAATCTTTCGAACACCTTACAGTGACAAACAAGAGGAAGAAAACTAACACATTATCATTACACAGGACATTGTTAAGATAGGAGACATCTGAATGGATACCTAGTACGGTATATGTGTTGGATATGTAAACCTATCAACTGAGATGAGCAAGACGTTATATTTAAAAAAAGTCACAGATTAGGACAGATCACTTCTCTATAATCATTTATTGTTTGTTCAATAGGTACATGTCCAGTGATCCATTATATTCTGACAGAATGCAAAACATTGATGAACAAGATGAACAGATTCATACACTGTACACCATAATGTCTGAGTGAATGAGCAGCATGAATATATTTCTTTACTCCATAACACACCCCACTCATCTTTATTAACAACACATAGAGACATTTGTGACAAATACAAAGCCTCCATGATTGAAATTAAAACTGGCTTGTGTGCTTGTTTTTTTATTTAAGGGGTTCAAAAAGGACTGACTGAGAAACTGTTGTTACCACCAACTATCGAAACCAAAATAAAAATTCACAAAACCCTCTGGAAAAGTACAAATTACAAGGGAGATGGTAAGGGAAATTCCAAAGACAGATAATGAGGACATTACTGGATGATTGATTAGTTCAGATGGACCAATACAGATCAGCCTAATCTGGAAACGCAAACAGTGCCTTACAACTTATAAAGTGCTAAAATGCCACTATTAGAATTAAGACAAAACAAAGAAAGAAGAAAAACTCACATATTCATAGACTTCAATAGTGCACAGTCTAACATTACCCCGATTCTGGATGTTTTATTGTGAGTGGGCCAAAAGCAGATGAACGGCACACAGAGGAGCACAATAATGCACAGCCAAGAGTTGATTCCAGATAATAAATAAGATTATCCGTCAGGGAGAAAACATGTCAGTTACAATTTAGCAGGGGAGCCAGTTTGGTGAAATGTAAACCATCAACAAAAAATCGAAATGCGTTTGACATCAGTTTCCAAGTTAAACTCATGATGAAATCCGATCAAGAAAATGCCTAAACAAAGTGCTCTTTTCTAAAAGGTGGAATTGAGGAGACAAAGAATAAGTGACGCATTAAGCTCCTCGATCACGCTGCTGCTTTGATTTCATAGCTCTGCCAGCAGGATCCACTCTACTTGGTGACGGCATGGATCCCCTGAGCCAGGTAGCCCACGTTCCCAGAGGTCACGCCTGCCATGGAGATTCGGCCATCCTTGGTCATGTACACGGAAAAGTCCTTCGTCAGGCGCTCAACCTGCGGGACAAATAAATGGACACACTCAACTCAAAATCCACATGCCAGTAATTTAGCATCAAATATCCCCACTACACTTTGTCCTCTCATTGTATAGATGTCTGATCGACCTTTAACAAGGTACTGGAGTGAAAGTAGATCTGAAAAGAATAGCAGGCACACATTTAAACAAATTCATAAGATTGAAGTCATAAATAGTTTTTGCGTAGTTATGGTATTTATATGGTATTAAGATATTTTTAATATTTTTAAATGTATGACCTAGTAGAGGTTGACCAGAAGAAAAACTCATTGGCATTTTTGTACACCAGGGTGATTAATTATCGCTGGACACAAAGTAGTCCCTGACCATTACATTGGATTTTAACAAGTTGAACACGGCTCGAGATATTAAAGTCTGTATATTAATATGTTGTGGGTGCTCGTTAGGGCTGCACGATATTGGAAAAAACTGACATTGCGATTTTTTTCCCCCCTGCGATATATATTGCGATATGAAAACATACAGGAATTGAAGAAAAGACCGTTTTTTTCCCCACAAACCATCCTTTCTTGAACTTTAATGCTATACAATTGGTATTCTTTTAAGTATATTTAACCGGATGAAGGATTTTAGTCACGGACGTCTGGATCTTAAATTATCAGAGCAACAAGCTGAGCTAGCTCGGTTACTGTAGCAGCGCCAAACTGCCCTGGAGAAACACATGAAAATACTTTATTCAGTGTTTTTACCTTTAAATCACCGGGTCCGTTTGCTTTGGAGATTTGATTGTGATTGGTGGTTTGCTGTCACTCACTCAAGTACCCCTGACATGAGAGCCGCGCAAGTTTTCCTTTTGTAGCAAGCAGCAAAATAATTGTAACATGACGTGTTTGAGTTAATTTGCCTACTTAATATCGCAAGTCCTAAATAAAATGTGTATGTATAGTATCAACACAAAAAAATTGTTTTCCAAACTGTGAAACTTTTCCTTAGCTTTTGTTGTATGGCCTCAATTTATAAAGTACATTTAAATGAAGAAATGTCTCTTTCCTTCTTTATTGTCAATGCTCAAAAGCAAACGAGATGTGCATGTGTGTACCTGTTCAGGTTTGAGTCCAGTGAAGCAGAACATCCCGATCTGATCAATGACGTGCTGCCAGTTCTTGGAGGAGCCCTCCTTCTTCAGACCGGCCGCCAGCTCTTCTCTCATCCTAATGATGCGCTCAGCCATTTCTTTGACCTCACCCAGCCTGGGATGAACAAAGTCAAATCAGGAAATACATATTAGGATGTATCATGAACAGAATATGAAAGAGAGACTTGAAGTGTTTTCTAACACACATCCAAAGTACTCTGTTCAGATAATATGGTGTGTATATATGCATCTATAAGCACATACCAGACTGAGTAGAGATCGGGTGTGTTGAGAATGGTTGCTGCGATTCTGGCTCCGTTCATGGGTGGGTTGGAGTAAATGGGTCTGATGAGGATCTTAAGTTGAGACTCGACCCTCTTTGCCTCCTCTGCGTCTTTACACACCACCGTGAAGCCGCCCACACGCTCACCTGCGAATATCAACATGCAGGTTAAGTGTTAAACAAAGCGGTTTACAGTGAGTCTGACCAACATGTGAGAGAAATACGACAACTGTTTTAATTGGCTAATAATGATGATTTAATTCAGTAATCACGAGGAGCCGCGATAAAAAGGGCAAAAAGGCAACATATGATGATAGACTCACTACATCTCTATTTTTACTGTACGTTTGCAACCAATATATTGTATTTTGTATCAATATTTTATTTTATAAATTAGGTTTGAGGTTACAAACAACAGTCACAGAACAGTAGGCCAAAATAGACAAATGTTGCCCTGTTTGTAAAATATGAAACATGTAATTACTGTTTCAGTCTTTTTATCTAAATGATTTTCACTGTGAATGTGATTTAATAAGGCAAGATAAAGCTAGGACTTGTTTTTGTGAAGAAACCAACCGAGTCCAAAAGATCTATTCATAATAATGACTGTTTACTACATGACAGCTTTAGGCCATATGGAAAAGAGACAAATCTGTCTAACATTATACAATATATATATATTCAGCCTTTGGAAAGTCTTAATGCCTATTTCAATAAATCATGTTTCACTAACTACTTTGTACCACTGGGTGTTGGTAAAACACAAGCTTCAGTTCACCTTATAACTCTCTATGTAGATTTTCCATTCTCCGACAGGCACTTTACAAAACTTCACAGAAGAATTTGAATTAAATGAAACTCTCTTTTCAATAGATCCTGCAGTTTGGCCAAAATGGTAACAGAACCAAACGGAAAATTACTGATGCCAATTTTAATTCTTACATAATGATACATATCTCATTGCTGTAGTGTTATCTGTGTGTCTTTGTTGTTTTTTAAAGAGCCCATAGTGAACCCTGACTGACCGTAGAGCCCCATGTTCTTGGCGAAGGACTGGGACAGCAGGATGTTGTGGCCCTGCTCGACGAAGTAGCGCACAGCCCAGGCATCACGATTGATGTCTCCGCTGGCGAAGCCCTGATAGGCCATGTCGAAGAACACCAGCAGGTTCCTTTTCTATAGGGTGAGAAAGAAAGAGAGATAACAAGTTCATAATAATTTACAGCTAGATAACACACAGTGCTTATCATCTCGGCTTTTGAACTGTCAAGACCTTCTGATTTTCAGATAACGTGTTTGCAAAGGTTTTACAGAGCTTTGCCAACAGGATGCAGACTCACCTTCACAATGTCAGAGATCTCCTTCCACTGCTCAGGTTTGGGGTCCACACCGGTGGGGTTGTGGGCGCACGCGTGCAGCATGATCACACTCTGCTCTGGGATTTTCTGTGACATAACAAAACTGTTTTGGTCAATTACAAAACCTCATATACAGTAGTGGACTTTTTTTTTCAGCCTCAGCTGCCAACATTTTGCTTATTTAAAAGAGTTAGATTTTCCCATCTTAAACCATTAAAACAATAAGGTATCCTTCAGTAATGCTATCAATGTTCCTTCATCGTTTATGTTTTTGTCTTTTTCTTTAGCTTGTTTGGTTGTCGTGTCACTGATTTTTTTTTTTTCATTTTTGTGTCATGTCCTTTTCTATTTTCCATGTGT